AACAAATATTTATAGAACATTCCATCCAACAGCTGCAGAATACACATTCCTCTCAACAACACATGTAATACTCTCCAGGATAGATCACATCTTAGGCCACTGTCTTAGTCTGTTTGTGTTGCTATAAAGGAATACCTGAGGCTGGGTAATTTATAAAGAAAAGAGACTTCTTTGGCTCATGGTTCTTCGGGCTGTACAAGAAGCATAGTGCCAGCATGTATTTCTGGTGAGCACCTCAGACTGCTTCCACTCATGGTGGAAGTGGAAGGGGAGCCAGTGTGTGCAAAGATCACATGGTGAGAGAGAAAGCAAGAGAGAGAGGGAGAAGGTACCAGCCTCTTTTTAACAACCAGCTCTGGTGGGAACTAATAGAGCAAGAACTCACTCATTACCACAAGGATGACACCAAGCCATTCATGAGGGATCCACCCTAATGACCCAAACACCTCCTATTAGGCCCAATCTCCAACATTGGGGTTCAAATTTCAACATGAGATTTGTTGGACAAACATCCAAATTATAGTAGCCACAAAACAAGTTTTAGCACATTTAAGAAGATAGAGATCATATAGTACCATTTCTGAACACAATGATATAAAACTAGAAATCAATAACAAAAAAACTTTGAAAACTTTACAAATCCATGAAAATTAAACAATATGTTCCTGTACAACCAATGGGCCAATGAGGAAATCAAAAGCAAAATTAAAAATTTTCTTTAGACAAACACGAATGGAAACACATCATACCAAAACCTATAAGACACAGAAAAAGTAGTTCTAAGAGGAAAGTTGATATCAATAAATGCCTACATCTAAAAGGAAAAATATTTCTAATAAATAAACTAACAATGAGACTAAAGGAACTATAAAAACAAGAACAAAATAAAACCAAAATTAGTAGAAGGAAGGAAATAATAAAGCTTAGAGAAGCAATAAATAAAATAGAACCCCCCAAAATTCAAAAGACCAACAAAACAAAGAGTTTCTGTAAAGATAAAGAAAATTGACAAAACTTTAGCTATTAATAGGATAACTAGAAAAAAGTGAAAAGACTCAAATAAATAAAATCAGAGATGAAAAAGGAGACATTACAATTGACACTACAGAAATACAAAGGATCGTAAGACGCTATTATGAACAACTATATGTCAACAAATTTTATAACATAAAGAAATGAATAAATCCCCGGACACATACAACCTACCAAGATTAAATTATGAAAATAGAAAATCTAAACAGACCAAAAAAAAAAAAAAAATGAGGAAATTGAATTAGTAATAAAAAGTCTTTCATTAAAGAGAAGCCCAGAATCTGATGACTTTACTGCTGAATTCTACCAAATATTTAAACAAGAACTAATACCAATTCTCCTCAAACTATTCCAGAAAATTGAAGAGGAAGGAATACGTTGAAACTCGTTTTACAAGGCCAGCATTATCCTGATTCCAAAACTAGACAAGGACACAACAAAAAAAGAAAACTACAGGACAATATCCCTGATGAACATATATGCAAAAATCCTCAATAAAATACTAGAAAACCAAATCCAATAGCACACTGAAAAGATCATTTATTATGATCAAGTTGGATTCATCCCAGGGATGCAAGGATTGTTTAACATAGGCAAAACAAAAAATGTGATATAACACATTAGTAGAAAGACAAACAAAAACCATACAATATTTTCAATAGACACAGAAAAAGCATTTGACAAAATTCAATATCCCCCTCCTGACAAAAACTCCCAACAAAATAGTATAGAAGGTCTATACCTCAACACAATAAAAGCCATATATGGCAAACTCACAGCTAGCATCACATTAAATGAGGAAAATAAGATCAGTAATGAGACAAGGAGAGCGCTTTTACCACATCTATTCAACATAGTACTAGAAGTCCTAGCCAGAGCAATCATGCAAGAGAAAGAAATGAAAAGCATCCAAATTGGAAAAGAGGAAGTCAAATTGTCCTGTTTGTAGATGACATAATCTTATATATAGAAAACCCTAAAGACTCCACGAAAAAAAGACTTTCAGAACTAATAAAGAAACTCAATAAAGTTGCAAGATGCAAAATCAGCACGCAAAAATCAGTTGTGTTTCCTTACACTAATAGTGAACTGTCTAAAAAAGAAATTAAAATATCAATTTCATTTACAATAGCTACCCCAAAATAAGATGCCTGGAAACAAACTTACCCAAAGAAGTGAAAGATCTCTATACTGAAAACTATAAAAGATTGATGAAAAAAATTGAAGAGGACATAAATAAATGGAAAGATCACCCATGCTCATGAATTGGAAGAATTAATATTTTTGAAAAGTCCACGCTACTCAAAGTGATCTGCAGATTTAATGCAATCCCTATCAAACAAAATACCAATGACATTCTTCACAGAAAAAAAATCCTAAAATTCATATGGAACCACAAAAGACCCCAAATAGCCAATGCAAACTTGAGGAAAAAGAACAAAGCTAGGGGCATCACTACCTGAACTCAAAATGTACTACAAAGTTATAGTAACCAAAATATCATGATACTGGCATAAAAATAGATATATAAACCAATGGAACAGAATAGAGAGCCCAGAAATAAATTCACACACCTACTGCCAACTGATTTTTGACAAAGGTGCCAGAATTACACATTAGGGGAAAGAGAATCTCTTCAATAAATGACACTGGGAAAATGGGATATCTATATGCAAAAGAATGAGACTAGACCCTCTACCTCTCACCATATAAAAAAATCAACTCAAAATGTATTAAAGACTTAAATGTAAAACCTGGAAATATAAAACCACTAGAAGAAAACATAGGAGGAATGCTTCACAACATAGGGCTGGGCAACGATTTTTTAAATAAGACCTCAAAAGTGCAGAGAACAAAAGCATAATTGCACAAATGAGATTACATCAAACTAGAAAGATTTTTCACAGCAAAA